CAAACAAAAATAGAACAGAAATTGGAAAGCTTAAGAAGGTCAAGCAGAGGTATTCGTAAAAGCTTGTTCAGTATTTTAGTCAGAATGAAACTTTCCTAAAAATAATGCAAGAACCATTAAGTATCACTTAACGTTACATCCATCAGAATTTAGTAGAAAGTCTTTTCATAATTACAACTACTGATTCAAATTCGAGTCAGTTTCTTTAGTAAGGACCTTCTTACTGATTTTTATTTTACTAGGCTAGTCTTAGTAATGAAATTCCAATTAATGTTGTTTTATGACTATTATGCATTCACTTTGCACCATTTGAGAACTTTTATGTTTCCATCAACTGAACAGGACCATACTCCTTTAAAATTTGAATTATTCAGATTTGTGTGATTTGGCTTAAACTTGTTGAACCATCATGTAAAATTATCACAGCAACTAACTTTCCAGTTCTCATTTCTGAACAGATATCAGTAGAGGACACAGCCACAAAGGCAATCTTACACACAACACTTTGATTCTTCCTCCGGAATGCTGATTTCCACTGGACTTTTCAGAGCTCAAACACACATAACCTTACATGAATATCCATAGCAGTTACCACAAGTAAGGGAATTTGCCAGAAGGCCTGAAGATAATTTTACAGTTAGAGGAAGGATTGACAGAAGCCACTAGGAATTATGCTTTTATTTTTTTTTTTTTTTTTTAAGAAAAAAAAAGTCAAGGGACTTTCAATGTAAAAATTTTTACTTAAAATTATTACGCTTCTATTTGAGGACTCACAAGAAAATGGCAAAATATAAAATATTTGCTTCCTTATTATTATACCTGACCTTTAAAAACATGTTTTTAAATATACTGGCCATTTTCATTTAGCTATTGTAGTTCAAAACTTTGGAAGCATGTCACTATCCTGAATGTACAGAACAAACAACATTGGTTCTCAGTCTTTTTCTGGATTAAATTAGTGTAGCTATTTTTATCTAACACATAAGCATATATTCAACATCAGAAATGGTGAAATCAGAAATGCTACATCAACATGTAGCAACCTACCCAGCAAGTAGTTTCCCACTCTCAGTCACACCTTGGAGAAGATGTTCTCTCTATTACAGAAGTAACACAACCTCCAAAGACTAAAATTAGTATCTATGAATATTTACAGTCTTGACCATTTCATCAATCAAAAAATTTAACACTACGATTTATACTGCATTGTTAAGTCCTTTGTTAGAAACCTACAACTAAAACCAAGCCAACGTTCAAACTTATCCAAAAAAAATGAAGTAAAAACCCCAAACATTTTAAATGCCTGAATTAATATTATTGTGCTTTCATTTCAAAAGCTTACTTAAATTTTGTCATACTGATAAAATATCCATTCTACATACACACGCTGATTTTGTGTCTTCTACATGTTGCAATAGCCTTCTACATTAAGACAGGAATTTTGTAATAAAAAGAGGGCACACAATTTTACATTCAGAATACAAGGTTTTCAGCAGAGACAAGCAAAATAAGTTGTAGAGCTATAAATCACTCTTTGTCTATATCTTTTTATAACAATGCTTCCATTTGTACACAGTTAAAGCCAAATTACATACAGATAAATTGGCAAAAATGTCCATTAGTACACAGTGGAAGAGCACTAGCTGCATTAGTACCAGGAACTGCACCTGCAGTATATATTCCCAAGGACCTGCATGAGCTGTACAGCCCACACTGAGATGCGTACCACTACAGCTACAATGCTGTTGGCACTCAAGCTTTACAGAGTAAAACCAGCTGGGAGAAGCCTGCTCATAACTCATTCTGCAATATCTGATAAAGTTCCACATAACTGTTGGTATTACCTCAGCAGAGCTCTTACAAAACAAAATCCCCGTTTCACCACAAAATCTATTGAAAGATCAAGGTCAGCCTGGCAAAAAAATGCATTCATTTATGTTTTAAAGATGACCTCATGTGTGATAACTTATGTTCTCTCTTTGAAGATAAATAAATGCACTTCCAAAATAAAATAAATAAATAAATAAAACAAAACAAAACAAAACAAGAAAACACTTTTTTTTTTGCACCTGTTTAAGTGACTCAGAGGTAGTATTTCAGAATACACAATAATGAAAATTATTTAATTTACTGAAAAAAATTCCTGTTTTGCTTTTTAATTTATTAAATCCCAGTAATATAGCAGTACCTAATTAGGCACTCAAGCAAGTGATTGAATTAAGGATACTAATTTCCCTTCATTTTGAATCAACTTAAAATTTTGAGTTGAAAAGTTCTAACATGTAACACTGAACTCTCTTAATGCAGGTAATCAATAAGGAACAAGCTCAAACTAAAAGGAAAAATGTTAACACATCTTCTAAAAAGCTGAGATAAAATTCAACTATTTGTAAAACACTAAACTGCACATAAACAAATCATTCCTTGCTACCAACTTATTCTCTCCTTTGAGAATAAAATATCAGCTAATTTCACAGATGTGGTTGTGAAGCATAGTTACATCTACATCAGATGCAGAGACAGGTATGACAGAGTCACATGACGCATCTCCATAAACATGCAGTCTTCATTTAATTGGAGCAAAAGCTCCAACAACCGTTTGAGGACAGGATGCTCATTTGTAATCAAAGTCAGCAAATAAATATATATCTGTTCATCAAGAACAAGATTGGATGATGGGAAAAACTTTTGGATCTGCAAGCAGTATCACAAGCTGACTGATCCTCTCTTGGGGCATCCAGGGCCACTAAGACTAACTCAGCTCTTTGCTCCAAGATTTGGTTGTTGGCCACCTACTTACACCGGACTTTGCCAGCTGGGATCTCAATAATCCCTTTTAAGAGTACTGATAGAAACAGCATCCATTCAGAATGACACAGTATTTCTAATGGTATGAAGAAAGTGAAGATGGCCATGGTCAAGCTGCTATGAAGTAGCGTTTGACCTCAGCTCTTATTCAGCAGAAGATCACCCCCCAGCAACCTCATAGCTATTTTCTATTATGACTTGGCAAAGATGAGACAGTAGATAAATGTTAAACAGCCAAATAGGATATACAAGAAGGTTTACATATCCATCTGCCTATCTCAGTCACACCAACACTTTCTCATCTGAATTTGACAGGAACAGAAAAAGCAGCAGCTGACAGAAGACTGGCCCTCCCCATTCACGCCTTGCCTGAATCAGCCAAATCCTCAGAGAACCACTGGGTAAAATTCATGCATATATGTAGGATGTCTACTCACTGGTGAATTACAGAAGTCATACGTAAATAATCAAAAGGACAAAAATAACCTGCTTACACAATAAAGGCCTCTTGTGCCAAAAGTTAAGCCTAAAACAACACACATGGGTACAAAATCACATCCAGACACTGTATCCTGCAAGTCCTTACACCAAAATCAAAAACTTTTAATAAAAGCTTGTAACAAACCCGTATCATGAAATATTTAACAACTTAAAAATTGTTACTGATGTACAAAATATCTTTCAATATTTTTGTATCAGAACTATTAGATTATTTTTACATTGTTTAACTTCCTCTGTATTGTTCTTAAAGTGTTTTTTTGACTTCTCTAGTCCGATTATTCAGTTTACTTCCCTAAAGATTAAGAAAATCCTGGACTTCCTCCATGTGGGTGTACCTAAGCTCCATCCGAACAGGCAAAATTTTCATAGCATACAAACAAACCACAGAATCTAAAATATTATTTATCATGCCAAACATACAGCAAAGTGAAAGCAATCAATCCAGATGGCTCAGATGGTACCACAAACCTTCAAGAAGTATACTGAAACTATTAATTCTGTTTTCTGATCAGACAACATGCTCATCTTCTGTTCAGTCTAATAATTACTAACCAGTTACGTTCACTGTTTTAAACAATCACAGAGCATGACCTGGATAGAGGGATGCACACAGGTTGAATTAAATTTTACAAGCAATCATTAAGCGACCTGCAATTGGAGTCCTTTTGCAATATTAGATGTTCAAATATTAATAAATTTATATTTGTTGCTGGACCACTTACAGAAATTCTTATATGCCATAGAGTAAGGCAGACCATCAAGTATATTTTAAGTTTCTAACAAAAGAAGACTACATGGGAAGGTTTGCTTTAAGAGCTAGTAGTGAAAACTGTCATATGAATTACTACTACAGTGAAGAGGTAGGCAACAAAAAATGGGACAATTAAAGGTGATGTATGACAAAAAGAAAGCCAGATAACACAGCTTCCAAAGACAGTTCTGTCATAAACTACATATTGTGCATTTCACTTACAAAACTAAAACCTTAAGCTTAAAACTATCCAAGCATGTAGTATTAGTATGTATTATATCATTGTGTCACTTATGCTCACTTTGACATTCCATTTCTATATTACATGAAGGCTGAAATGGAATTTCCTTAGTTCCGAATACCTTCAACAGCGAAACACTGCCACCTTTTGGCTTGATACATAGACCTCGCCATTATAATTGTAAAATTTTCGTGGGTTTGGGGGTTTTTTTGTTACATTTATCCTTCATGGAGACAGTTGAAGTCTTGTGATCTTAGTTAAAATTTTGTGCAGTACCCAGATTTCTCCATTAAAAAAAAGAAAAAGGAAACAAAAGTATTAATTACTACGGAAACATTGTTTTTCTCACAAATATACGCACACAGCCAAACAACTTTAGAAGTATACTCCATTAAGCCACGTAATGTTTTATCTATTTTCTCTTTTTATCCCACAGGTCTTTTTTCTTGGCAGTTTTGATACACATATATACTGTATCACATAATATCTTACACTGCATTCCTTTCCAGTGAAAACTTGGTAATGCATTCTTTGAACATCTGAGTTTTGAAAACTGGTTATAGGAACAGCAATAATGCATCATTAAAATGTCATGTTCTTTACTCATATGCATATGTACAGTATTCTAGATTAAATATTAAATACTGATAGCTCAACATTTGTATAAGGATGTATGGGAACGTATGCAAAATCACTTACACCAATGACACAATGTCCCCACGTTGTACATCATAATTTCGAATGCTCCACTGGTTTAAGAGCACTACATCAGATGCTTGTCTTCCCCCAGGATTCAAAGAAGGCTGAGAGAAGAGAGGAAAAAAATGCTTTAGATGTACATTTCCTCTATGAGTCTTCCACCTACCTCTTCATTCCATCAGCAGATGAAATCCATTAAATCAGTAAAAAAGTACCCACTTACTAAAAAAGGACCATGTATTCTGGGAAATATATTTCTTTATTAAATGCCATGTTAAATGTCATTGATTTATTAGAACTGTAGTTCATATCTTTCAGCACACTACTGCATGCAAATTAAGTTATGCAAGATACATACTTACGACAAGCCTAATGAAAAGAAGTGATTGCCTTTACTGTATATTATTTAACATTAAAACCAAAGGAAAACCAAAACCACTAATTCCCAGAAAAAGCAAGTTTTCCACACACATCTTACTGCTTATACAAGCATAACAAACTAAAAGTGAAACACATACTTGTAACAATACTAATCTCAGCACCCTTTGCAAAGGGAAAAAACAAACCCTACAGCACATATTGACACTGCCAGTAAATGTAGGCCTCATGTAACAGGATACATAATATGTTTAGTTAAACAGCAAACAAGGCTAGTTATGGACTAAAAGGAAACTTTCCAGTCAAGTAAGCCTGCTCAAAGCAAATCACCGCTAGCAGTCAGAAACATGGTCCAAGTCTAAGCTATAAATATATTAACACTCATTGTTATTTTATTTACTACAGCCTATGCATTGCAAGAACCAGAAAAATGAAAACCAGAAGCTAATTACCAAATATTTTATTATGATTTCCAGAATTATTTTCCACCTTCATAGCATCTCCCACTAAAGAATAGTATCTTTACATACAAATTATTTACACACAAATTCAGAAACAATTTGCAGTCATACTCATTTTACCAAACACAGGTGCATATGGACCAGAAGCTAACGATACTAAGTACAAGACAAACAGGCTGATCTTACAAAGCAAGAATCACACATACGGTATATTCTCACAAAGCAAATTGCTTGGTACTCAAAGCAGCTCGAGTACCTAAAGGGCAGAAAAAGGTCATCAAAAGAAATGGAAATTCTAAATCTATTCTTCCAAAAGATAATGTATTTTGCAGCTGATACTTAGAAGAGATTTATATGAGTGTTCACACACATTCCCTCTCAACTAAATCTGTATCAATTTCACCTTACAGAAATATACACCAGGTAGTTACAGTATTGCCTTCGTTGCATTACCCCATTGACTCATACTGTTTTCTGTATTTAAACAAAGGAAATGCTTTAGAGTTTAAACACTTCTAGATATTGCATAATCTTTTTAATTTAGAACACTCTAAATGTATTGCCATATTGCTTGTTATTTTTAAGAATACATTGCTCATGTGGTTTTGACATACAGAGTTGATCTCCAACTCATTACGTATCAGAATTATATTGCTGAGAAATCTGGCAATTTAGAGATTTTTTTTTTCTTTCTTACGAAACAACATGACATATTCAAAATACCCAGAAGAAAATATTATTTTGGTAGAAGTGTAAGGAAAACTAGAATGAGACAACTTCCATTTTACATCAAGTCTTTCTCTAATGTAAGTAACATCTTATTGTGGAATCACAATTTATGTATTTCTAAGTATTTAATGCCGTATGTTCAGAAATAACTTAGTCCCCACGGCATTTTTACCAGTAGTAAGGTCTCCGGTATGGCAAAAAAAAAAAAAAATAAAGCTTCCATAAAAGCAGTCAACAGGCTCACAATGGCTCTGTATTTGTATAAGAAAAAAATACAGGGGCTGCTTCTTCCTTCTAGCTCAAAACATTATAACTTGTTTGCCCAAGTTCTTGGCATAATAGCCTGATGCAAATGAGACACACAGGTCTTAATTTAGAACTGTGGTGTAAAAGTCACAAAACATTCACTCTTCCCAATTACTAACTAATTTAACACTAAAAGCATGCAAATTGAGATCTTGAGCCATATGATGAAGCCTCACAGGACATGAGGTTCCATAAGTAGAAGGGTAAAAGCATGCCCTTTTACTATAAATAATGATTAACTTGATAGTTGTTATGCTGCTAGTGAATACCAGAAGGTCACAACTTATTTGCTTATAGCTTGGGGAGAAGAAAGAATATCCACATGAGCACACAGGCTTAGGTACAGTAATCCTAATAATAAAGTTAGAAGAAACTGCCACAGAATAATTACAACTGCTATTATGCATAATGGAATAGAACATTTGATAATGTTTGCTGCTGTAATAAGTGTGCTTCGTCAGAGATCGCTAGACAGGCTGCTTGCTATAATCCTTGGCATTAAATTGTCTGCAATAGAACTTGTATATAAAGTTGCACTTAATGCTGTCATTTTCCATCACACTTGAAAACAGTCCATTTGATTTAATGAATTTACAGATTTATATATCCATTGGGGGGGGTTCCCTCTTCCATATCATTATGTGAAGAGTTCACAATACCAGAGAAGCAATGAAACTCAATAGAAAAGAAAAACATAAATGGATATCAAGATGTCCATATGGCATACATTTTAATGTATACATCCAGCAATACAAGAGGAATTACAAAAAATCCACAACAGCCAATTAAGAAATCATGCTACCAGTTATTTGTGTCATTTACATTCAATATTAAAACCAGATTACAACTCACTTGAAACACACTACTAACAAAATGCTAGATGAGCATAATAATCTATCATATCCTAAGAAACAAAGCCATCTCACGTAGGGATGAAAAAATACAAAATAAACAAACCAAACAAAAACAACACAACAAAACAGTAATCGGGGGGGGGGGGGGGGGGGGGAAGGCAATGAAACAATTAAAAGCTGTTAAAATTATAAACTGCAATAGTTCACTGCTATTCCCTATAGGTTACAGTCAGCACAAGTGAAAATTATGACAGGTGGCACTGTAGAAACACAAGATCAGCTTGAGACAATGAAATGCATGAAGTCTGTCTTAATTGATTGGGAATAAATCAGAAAATTTGTATTCTCATTAGAAGCTTTATTCAGTGTGCTTGCCAGGGTGTCAAAAAGTATTATCATCGTCAGTAACTATGAAGCAGCAGTAAGGCTGGCCCAAAACAAAAGGAGAAAGTGAAGGGGGTGAGACAGCACACAACAGAGAACAAGAGTAGGAGAGAGAGCATGACAGAGATTTATTCCTTGCTTCTTGTCAGAACTTTTAATTTCAGGCTCAGCAGGAGCCAAAATGATGAGTACACAAAGCAGCTAGACATTTTAGAGGTCTATTACAAACAAATTCTTGGGAATCATACCATGATACCTTCAAATTGAGACAATAAGATATCATTGGAAGCACGCAATTAATGGATGTATGACTGCATGCTGACTGAACTTCTTCCTCATACTCATAGCTTTCAGATACGTTCAAGGTAGATCACTCCAAAGAACAGAGTAAATAAATGGAATTGCAATGTAATGACCAGTACTCCTTCAAGCTACTCTGTAAGAGAGGGATATATTCCTTATAATTATACCCCTGTCAGACTTAGTTAGGTGTCTACTAAATCTTGGCAAGGATATAAGTATTTTATCAAAAGCACTATGAAGGAGGCTTTTTGTAGTCTGAAAAATATCCATATTCATAGAAGTTTAAAACAAACTTCTATTTCAGTGCTGCAGTGCAAACTAAAACCAGAGAGAGAATTTTACAGACACTGAGATGTCAGTGAAGTTAGAAATGTCAGCTTTCAAAGCTAGCCATACTTCAATCAACAGAAGGAATGTTTAGTCAAAAAAAAAAAAAAAGCTTAGATTTTTATCACCCAGTGACTATATATTGCTTTCCCTAGCCACTACAGAGTGCGTATCCTTCTTTGTCAGGTTGAGTAACTCTGATCAAATAGCTGTAGTGTTTTGCAAATATTTCATGGATAAACAACATTTAACTATATGCTCTTCAAGTGAGTACAAATGCAACATCCCAGAACAATACCAGGGCACTCCCAAACACTAGAGACTTAGACTTCAAAGGAAATCTAAAACTCTGGTCTTGACCAGAGGAGCTTAACAGACTTGTGGAGTAGAAAAAAAAAGAGTAATGAAACCATTTTGCCCAGTTTCCCACTCCTCTCCTCCTTTCTAGAGCGAATTTCTGGCTCTGCAACTGTAAACCCTGAAATTCTCCTACCTTTGATTGGTCATCAATGATATTCAGAATAATATGCATGAAGAGGGCAAAGGCAATTTTATGTTACAACTAACTTCTGGTCTTGGATTGTAGCATTACTGGAGTACAATGATTTGACTTTTGTCCCTGTTGAGGTGAGAGCTGCCTTCTAGACCAGCTGTGGTCTCTTGACAGAGGCTATACACCAGATTACAAACTGTCACAAAAAGCACAAAGCCACCTTGCCTTCCCTCTTCCGTACCACTTGCTTTTTACAGCATTGAACACACATCAGCCAACCCCATGTTCTAGCAAGTTTTGTCTGTGTAAATGCTGCACAATTCAAACTCCAGCAGCTGGTCTTGACTGCCATGAAGCCTCTCTTTAAGGTTCTGAGCTTACTTAAATAATCAGGAAAGAGGACTTGGCATCCAAGAATCAAATCCTCAGTCTCTGCTAATTGGAATGTTGCACTATTGGAACAAAATAAATTAGTCAGTGGTAACACAAGCAATTCACAGTGCGTACGATCTAAGATGCAAAGTAACAACATAAAAATTGGCTAACTGCATCACAATATGTATTTTTCAAGTCCAAATAACAGAGGAAACAAAGTAGCTGTTTACTATCATGAGTATTTATCTTTCAAATGTTACACTGCCTATTTATATTTATTTTCTTACACTCTACAAACATTCAGAATAACCAAAGACTAGATGACTGCTAAAGGACTAGGAAGATACCAAAAAATATACATCTTTATCACTATTTATATTTATATATATATTTTCCTTTTACTGAGAGAAAATTTTGGCAAGTTTTCTTCTCAAAACCTTTTCATATCATGAAAGTATTTGTTTAACAAAATCAAAATTAAACTATTCCATAATACAATGTGGTCATTTAATAACAATGGAGGGAAAAGACTGATATTCCGCTTTACTATTACCAGCAGATGTTCTCTTTTTAATCTCCTGACAGACAAAAGACATTTCTGGCAATACCTGCATTGAGGCTCCTTCCACCCTTGCTACGCAGGCAACTCTATCCAGGAAAGTCACCGTTATGGGAACAGCAACAAAGAAACCTTTAAAAAAGGCTTTAATGTATCTCTTCCCCAGCCCTTGAGCCTGCGCCATAATCTGAAAAATACAAGGGAAAAAAACCCAAACTTGTTGTAAAACAAATTTTGAGTAACAACACAACATTGTAGCAATCCAACAAGGAGCAATTAAGATAAATTAATTATATTAACTGTTACATTCTCCCAGTATACACGGATGGGGGGGTAGAATTTGCACACAAAAATGAACAGAACAGAAATCTTCATCAGCTTTCCTTGATACTTGACATTCATTTACCCTTTAGCTAATTTAGCCATTTCTTGTCATCCTGTACTAGCAGAAGTACTTGATAAAAACGACTCAATGGTAACAGTTAACTAAGCAAGAAGCAAACTGATATAACCAGACAAAATCTAATTATGCATTTCAGGTGTTGGGGGGATTAAAAATCAATTAGATTGAAATACCCAATTACAGAGCATTCAGTTGGCGTTTACAACAAAAATCCTGCAAATAGTTTTATTTCCATACACTGGTAATTAGTGACCCCCAAATATGTATTGTGTTACGTAAGGAAAGGCTGACTATTTGCAAAACATCGCCATTTCCTTGTTCAATATCACCATGCATAAAAATGCACAAACACATCATTTCCACACTTGTGGTAACTGCAAATATCTAAAACCAATTCAAATTGTCATGTCTATCATAGGGACACACAGAACTCCCTGTTCACTACTCCATCAGAAAGTTGAAAGCATTTCATGAAGCTGGGCAGCTAAGCAATGGCACACGGGACACATGAGTTGGATTATTCCACTCGAACTCACCATTTTTTTTATGCTATTTCCCATCTATTAATTTAGCCCTGAATCACTGAATATCCTTGAAAAATATCTATAAACTAGTCCGAAACACAAGTTGTTTGATCTTATTAGTTATACCTCTGAAAAGCAAGCTGAATATCCAGGTACTGCTGCAAAGGTACAGACTATTTTATGTAACCGCAATTTCATTATAAGAAATGCTGCCCTTCACCTACCGGCAAATCCAATTTAAACTGTTGTTTCCACCTAATGATCCCTGGTAGACTACATACAAGATCAGCCTGTGGAGTCCCTGCTCTATCACATCCTAACTCTGACAGACAGTAATAGGAGAAAACAGACTGTGCCCTGAACTTTTGAGTCTTTCAGTGTGATTAAAGAACACCACTATTTTTCAAACAAAATAATGGAAAACATAAGTACATGCAGATTCATTCAATCCTCTTACAAACAGAATATTTAAAATTTCACAGTATAATAATTTTTCTTTGTTGCATTTTCAGCAATATGGAAGTGATGAACTATTTGTATGCAAAATACAAATTCATATCACGCTGATGCAACAGTATTGAAAGCAGTATTTCTGTCACAGATATGACTTCTTAATTCCATAAAGCATTATGCTGAAGAGAGGAAACTTAGTTCTACAAAGTAAGCCATCAGCATATTCTTCAATAAAATTCTTTATAAGTATTAATAGCCTTGCAATGACAAGATCTGTCTTCTAAAAGACATGAACAACTTTACTATTACTTCTGACATTCACCTTGACAAGGTTTTAATTTTTTGTTCAGGTTTTTTTGGTTGATTGGTTTTGGTGGTTTGTTGTCTGTTTTTTTTTGGGGGGGGGTGTTAAGTCGAAATGCTTCACCATCCCCTATAACGGTTGCTCGTAACACAAGTTTAACTACTAAAAAGTGTACTTAACGCTTGTAATTTGATTATATTTTCTTCCTGCACATTTCACGAAACATTTTCAGTTTGCCTCAGCAGCTTTCACACAGAATTTGAAATAGGTTGTGGAACAGAACAAAAACCTCATCAGTTCAAGATAAATGTTAAAATCCTTTACTTTCAGCTTATCGTTTAAAAACTTGTTATTGGTACCAATCCACAGAAAGAAACTATTGCCTCAGTCAGCACAGATCTACCCTTAGAATGATTCCACATAAAAAGAGAACCCCTAAAACTTAGGGGTTTTTCTACTGTTTAACAAACTATACAATTTCATACACCTCAACACCCTTTCTCTCAACCTACTGATTCTGAATGTTGCCTCTAGAGTTTTCTGGCTGGAATCCTACTCTGCTAGGAGGTCTGGCGTATCTCAGACATCCTCCACTTTGACAACAATGTCAGCCTGAGAAGACAATTTTGAGATCTTGCCCACAAGCGTATCTACCATGTTCTCTTACAGTTACTTTTTGAGCTGAAAGGCACTGCCTGACAGATGTATCACAATATGACTGATTTAGGAAATATTTTTGAAACTTTAAAGAAATCAGATGAATTTACTAGCTCTTTAAATTCCCCATAGTCAAACCTATGTTTCACTAGTATTGAAGCATGAATGTTAACCCCACTCTTCCTACTAAATCCATTGAAAGATCTTGTAATAAACTTCTTGCAAGAGCCCCATGCTGGTATCTAAAAAAAAAAATATAAACCTAGTACTTGATGTAACTGGTCAGACAATCCACAGGAGACTAACCATATGCTCCTGGAACTACAAGCTAATTAATAGTGACACAGAATCTAGCAGCCAGGTTAAAACAGTTACGACAAAACAGTACATTCTCAGTACATCACTTGGCCAAGGCAACACCAGGAACATTAAGCAGCTGTAAAGAAAGGTGGGAGTTCAGGTCCTACTTCTATGGGTTTGGACACATGTGGTATTATAAGGCCTATCAATAAAGGCCCCTTTTATTACAAGGCCCCTACCAATAAAGACGAGGGGAAAAAACACCAGCAGCACCCCTACAAGCAATCAATTTGCAAAGCCACCAAAGACAGCAGCTCCTGTTGTGGTGACTTCTCTAGATGCCCCGATTTATTTTTGTTCTTTCTTACCTTCCTCCCTCTACTAGGCAACTGATCAAACCACTGGTTTTATTTTCCATCCATACCAAGATAAATTCTTCAGTTCCAGTCACACACTACATTCTGAAAGCTTCCTGGTTCCCCACCTCCCAGAAAAAAAGGACAGCTTTTCCACAGGACACAAACTGAGCAGGCCTGCTCCTTGTATATAAACATAAAAAGATAGTCATCATATACACTATTGTAAAATTGTAAATTCATCCAAGTAATAAATCAGTAACGGTTTAAACTCTTTCCAAAAACGAGATCTCCGATTATCAGCATTTAATGATACTGTGTGGAGCTCTCTGGTATGTAAAATTCAAAAGACTTCCAAGATAAGTATGGATTTTAAAAGCGTCATGTTTCCAGAGTGAAAATTTGAAATCCAGTGGAGTGCCTGGTTTATGCTGACAGCAGGTTTAAACGCACGTCAATGAAGCAAATGAAGGATACTTTGCTCAAAAAAAAACCCCAGTAATTTCACCAACGCATATTTCTGGATCTCTGCAGGGAACACCTTCAAAAAGATCAACAAACCACAACACTTTAAAGTGCAAAAAAATCAAACACATAAAATATAGAAAAATAATTTGGAGATGCATACACGTTTCAGCATTTGTAAATTACACCTGGTTTAAGAAAAAAACAAACAAACAAACCCACAAAACAGAATAATTAAGTAGAACTGACAAACTGCAAAGCAGCAACCTTGAAAACTTGCTTGAAATGGCAACATAGACAAGAAAAATCCAAGATCAAAAATGCTAGCATATAGCAGGTCAAAGCATTAAGAATTTCACATTGTGCAGCTCGGAGATTAAGGCAGATGGAGCACAGCATTATCTGGACTGAAGTATTTGGTGCACAAAAGGTCCAGGGATTATAATGAGCCTCTTGTGGGTACTACAACATATGGAGCAGAGATGCTATTTAGATAGCTCTCTATGTATAAAATGTTTATTTTTTCCTACACTTGCCTGCATATTAGAAGACACTGTTTATCAAACAGCCTGCAGAAAAATCATCAAGTAACATTCAGAAAGCCCCAGGTTACAATATATTTGCAAATCTTGGTACTTAAAAATTACCCATAGAAGCATGATAGGAAATATAGCTGTAAAAACAAGGCATTAGCAGACATCCACAAAGGAAATAAAATGGCCCCTGATCTGCTTCTAGTGAAGGCATACAAGGGAACAGGAAGGAGGGAATTACAGCCTATATGCAAAACAACTATGCAGCCAAGACTGCCATGTTAGTTTGAAAGGACCCATTAGATCTAGTTCAAAAATTACTAACTACACTATATACAGTTCCATAATTTATTGAAATAACCAACTTCTCTGTCAATTGCAATATGTATTGTTTTATAAATCAATGACATCACACTAGAATTCTGGGATATATGGTTTGAAAACAAGGAAGATTTGCATAACAGAAAATACCAAACCACATGAGTGAGCCCAATTCCACTGCAACCTATGAAATACAAAATTGAGCACAAAAGCTTTTGTTTTAAGACTGCTGCAACTTGAAGACAAGGTTAAACCTCGTCTAACAATTGTGATGAAGAAGATGCCACTGAGTATCAGAATCTATATGATCTTTTCAACACGTGCCTCTTCTGCAATCTTTCACGAGACAAGGCCAGAGCGAACTACTGCCATAAAGCCTGACCCTCACTTCCCACTTAGTTGTATATTTCAAGAACTTTTACAGTACAGTGTTTTTTGTAAGGGCACAAGTATGCAGACTTTTTAGTAGGCTAATTCATGTCATATAAATTTATCCAGGTACTAGCTGATGCGCAGTTATGATGGTGATGAACGCAACAGAAGGACCGAAATACATTGGTCTATGATAGTTTTCAGTTCAGAGTAATCAAAATAAATCAGTCCATTTAAGTTTTCATTTAATAATATTGTCTAGTTCCAGAAGGAGCTCTCATTTATCCTTCTATAAAGACAACTCCATCCTGGTATTATTCCACCATAGTGGTGATATTTCTATTCCATTCATGGGGGTTGGAACTAGATAATCTTAAGGTCCTTTCCAACCCTAATTATTCTATGATTCTATTTATACACTACACACAGGTTTTCCTCACAGTGTTCTTCCACCAACACACCACCATTAAGGAATGCTACCCTGTTGTGAGTTTGGAAATGTCATGCATCACGGAAACGACTGTTGTATCATTGAAGCAGAAAATCCTAACCTGATCAGCAGTTTTAGTAACTACCCGTGTGGTCTGTAATGCTCTGCTGTTCTGTTTCTCGAGGTCAGTCACTTTGCCCCCTAATATTACTACATCCCATCACTGGGATCTGCCTCATGTACAAAGGCTGAGTCCACATGTTGGTTGCAACTGGAAAGAAATTCACAGTGCTTATTCTTACAAATTCATTTTGTGTCCGAAGGACACAAATTTTACCCTCATGGACAATCTTGTACTTCCAAACAAAACACTTCGCTCTTCAAACATAAAGCAAAAATTGAAGAAAATGCAACTGTAGATGAAAGTTTTCCTCAGAAATTAAACTAACGACTATTTCACACTGGAGAGTCATCAGCCACCCCTCAGATCTGACAAGTTATTCAGGATTCCATTTTATGCACATAAGAAGTGAAGAAAAGGAACAGCAATACAACCACTTTTCTATATAAAAAAAAAAAAAAGATTAGTAATTGTTATAAATCTATAACATAATAAAACTATAACAGCACTTAAACTGAAGAAGTAATGCAAAGTTTTCAAGTACTATCGCACAGGTGACTGGCAGAGTACCAGCTGTTCTAATATAAAAGATACAGAAATATGTATAAAAAATTGTGGTATCTTCAAAGAAACTACTCATCAATATATAATGTACATAAAGAAAAGTACCAAATTACATCAATTTTGGAACACACTTAAGTGAACAACATAATGCATTTAGCTTCTTGCAACTGAAAGTTATGTTGCCTTTCAGCTTAAAGAGTCAGGGCACGCAAAGCAAGTTAATTTTATAAATTGATTTGAAGTGCCCTTTACAAACAACTGCCAGCTGCTGTTATGTTTTGGTCTCGAGCTTACTGCATAAATGAGGTGTTGCTTCCAAACTCACTAAATTCATAAATTATATTTACAGTAAATCATAGCGTAACCTTTGATTTTTCATTCATTTGCACATTTATCTAGTCAGCTCTTTGGGTTATTTCAAGTACCATGGAACTCTCATGCTAATTGTGGCTACCCAGAATCAAACTTGGCCAAAAACAAAAAAACAAATGAAAAAGGGAAGGGGAGGAAACACTCAGTTTTAATCAAAATATGGAACATTAAGTATTCATATATCATCCAATTAAGTGGTCCAAGCATAACACATTCAATTCAAAACATGAATATTGACAGACATAAACTATTCTTGAAGTTTCTGCATTTGAATTAAGGACAAGTAAGTCAATTACAGAATAAGAAAGTTTCTTTTAGCCCAATGGAAAATGAACTTAATACAAGAAGAAATGAATACAAGAAACAAGCTTCCTCGCTACAAGTCTTTCAAGTATGTAAGTATGCAATGAGTATATAAGTACAGAATAATAACTGACAATATTTATTATAGCATGAATAAATAATTCCAAAAGAAATAACAGAGAGAATGTATTTAATAAATGAAAAATAACTTCAAGAACACGGCTTTTATCCTTGAACATTAGAGGTCACTGTGGGACTTTCTAAGAGCGTACCTGGCATCCACTGCGAAAACCATTCACCACCATATTGAGTCTGGGATTTGTGACAACTTTAACTACCATATCAAGTTTTCATGTCCTAAGAATAAACAGAGCAACTAAAATGAAAGCATAAGGATCCAGGTATTCCAGAAATAGCTGGAATCTGTGTCACAATGGTCAAATTATAGGAATCTCAACAGAAAATTCCAACTGTGACTGTGAAACCATTTGAGTCTTAAAATTGTTATTCAGCATGGTCCAAATATTATTCTCATGGATGTGGATACCACTATACCATGTGTAAAGTTATCGCCCATCAATTCCAGAAGCAAATTTATTACGGTAATGAAATACAAGTTAAACAGAAGAATCCTTAATTTTAAAAGTAAAAGAAATGGAAGGCTCCTAGAAATCTCCCAGTCACAACAGTTTAAAACATTATTTTTTTTTACAAAGTGCATGTGGATTCAGTTACAAAGCTTAATACTGGAAAAGCCAAGTTTAATTCTTAAGTCTTCTTGAAAAATTATTTCATCTAACCTGAAATCCTCCAAGAGTTTTTATTTGTCAACAGATTATGCTTGGAAGACAATTCCTA